ATCTCCGTTAGCAATTTGGGCACCTACCAAATTGGGGAGTTCATCTTTCAGTGTCTTATCTTTTTACCTTTTCATACTGTTCCTGGGGTTCTCAAGGCAGGAACTGAAGTGGTTTGCCATTCCCTTCTCCAGTGGACCACATTTTGTCAGGACTTTCCACCATGACCTGTCCGTCTTGAGACGGACCTGTGGTTGTATTGGCATGGCTCATAGTTACGCTGAGTTAGGCAAGGCTGTGGTCCATATGATCAGATTGGTCAGTTTTCCGTGAATGTGGTTTTCAGTCTGTCTGCCCTCTGATGGAGGAGGACAAGAGGCTTATGGAAGCTCCCTGAAGGGAGAGAATAGCAAGGAGAGATAATAAAGCCTTCCTCAGTGATCAGTGCAAAGAAATAGAGGAAACCAATAGAATGGGAAAGACTAGAGATCTCTTCAAGAAAATTAGAGATACCAAGGGAATATTTCATGCAAAGATGGGCTCAATAAAGGACAGAAATGGTATGGACCTAACAGAAGCAGAAGATATTAAGAAGAGGTGGCAAGAATACACAGAAGAACTGCACAAAAAGATCTTCATGACCCAGATAATCACAATGGTGTGATCACTCACCTAGAGGCAGACATCCTGGAATGTGAAGTCAAGTGGGCTTTAGGAAGCATCACTATGAACAAAGATAGCAGAGGTGATGGAATTCCAGTTGAGCTATTTCAAATCCTAAAAGATGATGCTGTGAAAGTGCTGCACTCAATATGCCAGCAAATTTGGAAAACTCAGCAGTGGCCTCAGGACTGGAAAGGGTCAGTTTTTATTCCAATCCCAAAGAAAGGCAATGTCTAAAAATGTTCAAACTACCACACAATTGCACTCATCTCACATGCTAGCAAAGTAATGCTGAAAATTCTCCAAGCCAGGCTTCAACAATACATGGACTGTGAACTTCCAGATGTTCAAGCTGGTTTTAGAAAAGGCAGAGGAACCACATATCAAATTGCCAACATTTGTTGGATCATCAAAAAAGCAAGAGAGTTCCAGGAAAACATCTGTTTCTATTTTATTGACCACGCCAAAGCCTTTAACTGTGTGGATCACAACAAACTCTGGAAAATTCTTTAAGAGTTGGGAATACCAGACCACCTGACCTGCCTCTTGAGAAATCTGTATGCCGGTCAGGAAGCAACAGTTAGAACTGGACCTGGAACAACAGACTGGTTCCTAATAGGGAAAGAAATACCTCAAGGCTGTATATTGTCACCCTGCTTATTTAACTTATGTGCAGGGTACATCATGAGAAATCCTGGGCTGGAGGAAGCACAAGCTGGAATCAAGATTGCTGGGAGAAATATCAATAAACTCAGATATGCAGATGACACCACCCTTATGGCAGAAACTGAAGAAGAACTAAAGAGCCTCATGCAACATGCAGCTAAAAGCAATCTTGAGAAAGAAGAACAATATTGGAGGGCCCATGTTTCCTGATTTAAAGCTATATGCCAAAGCTGTATTAAACAAAACAGTATAGTGTTAGTATAAAAATGGGTACAGAGATCAACAGAATAGAATAGAGAGCCCAGAAATAAACCCAAATACAAACAGTTAATTAATTTTTGACAGAGGAACTAGGAATATGCAATGCAGAAAGGGCAGTCTCTTTCCCAGTGTTGGGAAAACTGGACAGCTACATGCAAAAAATAAAACTAGACCACTCTCTTATACCATTCACAGAAATTAATTCAAAATGGATCAAAGACTTAAGTCCTGCAGCCATAAAAATCCTGGAAGAAAAAAACAGGAAGGAAAAGTTGTAGACATCAGTTTTGGGGGTGGCTTTTTGGATTTTATGCCAAAAGCAAAGGCAACAAGAGCAAAACTAACTAAGCAGGATGACATAAAACTAAAAAGCTTCTGCACAACAAAGGGCACCATCAGCAAAATGAGGAACTTGCTGGGCAGTCCAGTGGTCAGGACTCAGTGCTCCCACTGCCATGGCCCAGATTAAATCTCTGTTTGGGTAACTGAGATCCAGTAGGCCATGCAGGTTGGTAAATATATAAATAAAGGGCAAAGATATTGTGGTGAAAAATATTTTTTAAAAAATGGAAAGACAATCTATAGTATTGGAGAAAATATTTGCAAAATATATGTCTGATATGGGTTAATACATGGAATACATAAAGAACTCATACAACTCAATAGCAAAAGAATACAATCTCATTTAAAAATGGGCAGAGGATCTGAATAGACATTTCTTCAAAGAAAACATACAGTTGTTCATGAAAAGGTACATGAAAAGATATACAACATTACTAATCATCAGGAAAATGCAAATCAAAACCACAATGAGATATCACCTCATAAAGTTGTTTTTATCAAAAAGACAAGAAATAACAAGAATTTTTGAGAAAGTGGTGAAAAGAGAAAGCTTTTTCACAGTTGGGGGAAAGATAAGTTGATGCAGCCACCATGGAAAACAGTATTAAGGTTCCTCAAAAGGAACTCAAACCTAAAAATAGAACTGCCATATGATTTAGTAATTTCACTTTGGGGTATTTATCTGAAGAAAACAAAAACACTAACTTAAAAAGATATGTGCAACCCAATGTTCATTGCAGAATTATTTAAAATAGCCAAACAACATTAAGCCTTTTTCGATGGATGAATGGATAAATAAAATTTGCTATGTACATATATCCAACCATAAAAAAGAAGAAAATCTTGACATTTGCAACATGGATGGAACTTGAGGGCATTATGCTAAATGAACTAAATCAGATAGAGAAAGAAAAATATCATTAATCTTATTTGTAGGTGGATTATTAAAAACAAAACAAAACCCAAAACCGAAAAATGAGTTCAGAGATGCAAAGAACAGTTTGGTGGTTTCCAGAGAGTCAACGTGGTCAAAATGGGATGGGTGAAGGTAGCCAAAAGATACAAACTTCCAGGTCTGAAATCAATGTCATGAGGATGTAATGTACAGCATAGTGACTACAGTTAACCCTGTATTTTATACTTGAGAGTAGGTAGGAAAAGACATCTTAAAGTTTTCATCATAAGAAAAAAAACTAGTAACTACATGTTGTGATGGATATTACTATACATGTGGTGATTATTTACCAATATGTACAAATAGATAAATACTATGTTGTGCACTTAGGTCTAGTACAATGTTACAAGAATTACATCTCAAAAATTTTAACAAACAAGGTTGGAATACATGAATTAAATCAGTTCCATCCTTACCTCATTTAGGCTTCTCTGGTGGCTCAGACAGTAAAGAATCTGACTGCAATGCGGAAGACCAATTTTGATACCTGGGGTCAGGATGATCCCCTGGAGAAGGGAATGGCATTACATTTCAGTATTTTTGCCTGGAGAATTCCATGGACAGAGGAACTTGGCAGGCTATAAAATCCATGGAGTCGCAAAGTGTCAGACTCGACTGAGCGACTAACATTTTTACTTGATGTCATTTTGTGGACCCAAATTAAACTCACCACTTAGATTTTAAAATATCAAATCTCACTGCATCCTACAGGGTTGGGACAAACACACAGAAACAGACAGTAAGTCACCTGCACACGAGATACAGGCTTCCTCCTTTGGACAGCATGAAGTGTAATTCCAAGAGTCAGAAGGACACTGCCAGAAACAGGTGTCAGTTTTCCGACAGCAGATTTCATCCACCCACCAGGGTCTAGAACCTTCCCTGAGACCAACAGAAGAGTTGAGGGTTCCACTGTCCCCACAGCCAAGCCATCTGCAGATCATGGACACAGTGATGTGTTCCATAGGGCTGCAGCAGACACTGCCCCAGGTCCCGTTGTAGAAAACTTCCAGCCACCCAGCACACTGCTGGTCCTCGCTCACCATCCTGAGGGCCAGGAACTCTGAGGTTGAAAGGGGAGGAGACAGGACACAGTGAAATTTTGCTGGATGTTCTAGGTTTTCCTTTCTTCTAGAAATGGTGAACATTCATCTCTGGCCTTGTTCAAGAGATATCCACTAGATGACAAGACTGACATCACCTCCTTTTTAACTGACTTTGTCCATTTGTGTCTGTCCTTCTATTCTTACCACAATGGTGTAGTGGATATGAACTGAGAGGAAGACCAAACTGTGTGGGCACTAGTCAGAGAGGAAAGCTGAATCCTGTTTCCTGACAATATCTTTGAAGAGTATGTTAAAGGGATGTGATGTGGATATTGGGAAGATAGACAGAATAATTAACCCCAAAATGTCCACATCCCAATCTCTGCAACTTGTGAATCTGTTACCATATCTGACAAGGGGGATTTACAAATATGCCTAAGGTAAGGACCATGGGATGGTGAGTTTAAGCTGGAATATTGTATTAACAATGTGAGCCGAGTCTAACCACATCCTTAGACCCACTGTCTTTAAAAATAGAATACTTTTTCTAGCTCTGGTTAGAGAGAGAGAGATGTGACTCTGGATAATGGTTGAAGACAGGCAGCATTGCTGATCTGAAAATGGATGAAGGGGGCCATGAACCAAAGTATGTAGGCAGTTTCTAGAAGCTTGAAAAGACAAGAAACAGATTTGCCCCTAAAGCTGCAAAAGTGATGTGGCGCTGCTGAAGCCTTGATCCCAGCCCACTGAGATCCCTGCTGGACATCTAAGCTACAGAAGTAAGGCAATAAACATATTGTTTTAAACCACTAGTTGGTATATTGTTACCTAAGCAAATGAAAACTAGTACTGTGGGTTTAAATTTTCTCTATGTAACTGGAGAGAGCCCTGCTTTCAAGAAAACCTGTGAAGAAAGGCTCTGCCTGGAAACACTGCTGAAAAGAAAGAACCAGAACCTCAGCTGCTGCAGGATGAAGTGAAAGCACCTCTTCATATCTTCTGGAAAGACAAGCTCCATGGGAGGAAGCCTCCTTCTCTGGTCCTTTCGGCATCTCTCCCTCAGGACTCAGACCCCAGTCCTCCAGGGCCCCACCCCTCTTCCAGCCTATGGACAGTGTGCAGCGCAGACCTAAGCAGATGACTCCCGCGTCCTGCTTGTGTCTGCAGTCGTGCCGCCCCCAGCCCCGGGAATGGCACCTCCACACGTGGGACTCCTTTCCTGTGCAGTTCAGGTCGTCCAGCCAGATGGACCCTGATCCCGCCCCGAAGTGAGCAGATCCCGTGGCATTGAGGGCTTCTCCACAGCCCAGCTGCCTGCACACAACGGGGGCATCGTCCAGGTCCCAGCCGTCATCACAGATGGTGCCCCAGGAGCCCTGGTCAAGGATCTCCACTCTCCCGGCGCAGGGACCGCCCCGTCCACCAGGCGGAGCTGTCTGCTGTCTGAGGAGAGAGAAATGGGACAATGGGAGTGTTGACAGGGGAATGAGAAGGGTCTTCTGTCCCGTGGGACCTCCACCTGAGCAGTAGGGGGCGCTCTCCACTGAGGCCGTAGAGCCTGCTGGTTCAGATACGGAGTCGTTGCACTGCGGCAGCACCTGGGTGTGATTTCCTGCAGAAACAACAATGATCAGAAGTCTGGAAGGGTTGAAGAACAAGAAACTGTTAAGGGAAATAATGACCTAATGATGGAGCCTAAGATGAAAGCTGTGATCCAGCAGTAAAGTTATCATAATCTTAGTGTTCACATTCTCCAAGGAGAGTTCTGCTTCTGACAGTATGACAATTTTTGTTTTAACCCAAGTGTTGCTGTAAGAATGAGTTAAGTAAGATGTTTTATCCCTAAATCTATCCCTGAGCTGTGCTTACTCACTCAGGCTTGTCTGATTCTTTGCAACCTGTGGACTGTAGCTCCCAAGGATCCTCTGTCCATGTTGATTCTCCAGGCAAGAATAGTGGAGTGGCTTGCCACACCCTCCTCTAGGGGATCTTCCCAACCCAGGGATGGAACCCAGGTCTCCAGCTTTGATGCTTTACTGTCTAAGCCACCAGAGAAGCCCAAATCTACACCTAAGTAGAAGCCAAACAAAATTCTTTCTGAAGGAGTTCTACATTTTTTTCAATATCTATCTTTAAAACAAACACATTTACAATAGATCTCATGAAAAATGGAAAGGAAAAATGAGACATTAAAAAGAATTTCCCAGGGTTTTCAGCTGCTAGAGTTACCTGACAGAGAATTTAAATAGCCATGATTAAAGTGCTTGTGGAATTAAGCACTGACAAAATGTGTATCTTTGTAGAGAAATGATAACAAAAACCAAATACTTCTAGAGCACAAAAACTTGTTACCTGAAACTAAGAACTAAAGAATAAGTGTATCCCATCAAGTCTAATGAGATGGATGAAACTGGAGCCCATCATACAGAATGAAGTAAGCCAGAAAGATAAAGACCAATACAATATACTAACGCATATATATGGAATTTAGAAAGATGGTAACGATAACCCTATATGCAAAACAGAAAAAGAGACACAGATGTACAGAACAGAATTTTGGACTCTGTGGGAGAAGGCGAGGGTGGGATGTTTTGAGAGAACAGCATCGAAACATGTATATTATCTAGAGTGAAACAGATCACCAGCTCAGGCTGGATGCATGAGACAAGTGCTTGGGCCTGGTGCACTGGGAAGACTCAGAGGAATCGGGTGGAGAGGGAGGTGGGAGGGGGGATCGGGATAGGGAATACATGTAAATCCATAGCTGATTCATGTCAATGTATGACAAAAACCACTACAATATTATAAAGTAATTAGCCTCCAACTAATAAAAATAAATGGAAAAAAAATAAGTGTAGCCACACAGTAGCTCATCATAAGGTACAAACATCAAAATGCAAGATCAGAGGATATTCTTCAAATTAGAAATTCAGGTTCTGGTTATATTGTTGTATAGCAGATTTTTCCCAAAAACTTAGTTCAGTCACTCAGTCATGTCCAACTCTTTGCGAGCCCATGGACTGCAGCATACCAGGCTTCGTTGTCCATCACCAACTCCCGGAGCTTGTTCAAACTCATATCCATCGAGTCACTGATGCCATACAACCACCTCATCCTCTGTTGCCCCCTTCTCCTCTTGCCTTCAATCTTTCCCAGCATCAGAGTCTTTTCAGATGAGTCAGTTCTTCACATCAGGTGGCCAAAATATTGGAACTTCAGCTTCAGCAACAGTCCTTCCAATAAATATTCAGGACTGATTTCCTTTAGGACTGACCAGTTTGATTTCCTTGCAGTCCAAGGGACTCTCAAGAGTCTTCTTCAACACCACAGTTCAAAAGCATCAGTTCTTCAGCACTCAGCCTTCTTTATGGTCCACCTCTCACATTCATACGTGACTACTGGAAAAACAATAGTTTTGACTAGATGGGTCTTTGTTGGCAAACCAATATCTCTGCTTTTTAATATGCTGTCTAGGTTGGTCATAGCTTTTCTTTCAAGGAGTAAGCATCTTTTAATTTCATGGCTACAATCACCATCTGCAGTAATTTTGGAGCCCCTCAAAAATAAAGTCTGCCACTATTTCCATTATTTCCCCATCTATTTACCATGAAGTGATGGGACCGGATGTCATGATCTTTGTTTTTTTAATGCTGAGTTTTAAGCCAACTATTTCACTCTCCTCTTTCACTTTCATCAAGAGGCTTTTCAGTTCCTGTTTGCTTTCTACAGTTTGTTGTGATCCACATAATCAAAGGGTTGGCTTAGGCAATAATGCAGAAGTAGATGTTTTTCTGGAGCTCTCTTGCTTTTTCTGTGATCCAACAGATATTAGCAATTGGATCATTATGAAAAGGCAAAATTTAGTAGCTGAAGGAAAAATATATATACTTCATTTTGCTTATGACTTTGGCTCATTAATCAGAAAAAGATTCAGTTTGGCAGTCTTTCCGTCGGGTCTTTCAGTGCTGCAATTAGGTATCACCTGGAGCTGAAGTCATTTAAAAACTTGACTGAACTCTGGTTCTGTAAGGAAATTCCCAGAAGTGTCCTAAAGGTAAAGGAACATCATATCTTCAACTTAATCCAGAAAGATTTTGCATATTCAGGAAGAAATGGGGCAGAAGGGGAACAGAGAAGGAAGGACACAGAGAGATTAAAGAAAATGTTGATACTAACATTGAGAAATCCAGGTAAAGTCATAAGGGAATTTTTATATTATTTTCCCAACATTTTTATAAGTCTCAAGTTACATCAAAATTAAAAAAATTAAAAGATGAAAACAAATCAAAGAGAATTCATTGCCAGGACACTTTCACAAAAATACTCATAACATCAAAAATAAAATACCTAGGAAAACCTATTAGAAGATGAGCAAAATCTCTGAGAGAAATTCAAGATCTAACTGAATGGAGGGATGTATTATGCCAATGATTTGGGGAGTTCAACATTGTCAGTGTCAATAATCCTCAAATTTTTGTCTCCTCTCAAATTTTAAACCTAATCTCAATGTAAATACTCTTAAGTTTTTCTTTTGGTGAAAAACTACAAACTTATTTCTAAATTCATACAAAATTCAAGCAACCAAGAGTGACCAGCACAGTTGGTAAGAAAAGCAACGATGTTAGAGGAGTTAATATTAAGTAACTCTTGTAAATTAAAATTATTCAGACTTACTACAAAGTTTGAAACTCGGGGAGATAGTGAAGGGCAGGAAAGCCTGGTGTGCTGTAGTCCATGGGGTCACAAAGAGTCAGACATGACTTAGCAATTGAACAGCAACTGTGAAGTTATCATAATTAAGAAAATGCAGTATTGGTGCAGGATAGACAACATGGAACAGAATAGAGAGTCTCAAATAAGACAGACATACTTGCCCTTCTGCTTATGACAAAGGCAGCACTGCAGTGGGGAAAAGAGTCTTTTCAGAAAAAGACTGAGTCAATTGCATGTCCATATGAAACCTGACACTTATCTTACACAGATATCAATCCCAGAAGGAATGCACAATAATATGCAAGAGAAAAATAATAAAATTTCCATAAGATACTCTTGGAGAATGTTTTTATGATCTTGGAGTAGGCAAAATTCTTTTTTAAAGTATATAAGAAGCATTAAATGTACAGAAAAAAGTTGGCAAGTTATGTTTCCATAAGATTAGGAAATGAGTTCATCAAAGGACACCATTTGATTAAGAATATGAAAATAAAAGACCAAGGATTAAACATGGAAAATAAGTAACACATATTTGAGTCCAAAGACACTGTCATGGTAAGTTGTTGCATCATACCTGTAATAGTCAAGAACTGGAAACAGCTCAGATATCTACTGTCAGTCAAATGGATCATGTACTGATCCTCTAAAGTAATAAAAAAAAGTAAGGTGCTACAATAAACAACATCATGTGTGAATCCCAAACATAATTTTGAGGCTGAGAAATTAGATACAAAAGATGCAACATACTGCATCATTTTATATAAAGTTCAAACATTAATAAAACACTCCATGTCAGTAGAGGTTAGCTAAGTGATTTTCCATTTAGAGGAGGGAGGACACAGTTACTGGGGGCAACAGTGACTGTGGTGCTGGGGACATTCTCTTTGTTGCTCTGGATTGGGGTTCATACTGAGGTCAATACTTACTGCTTATACATTGTTTTCTATGATTACATGGAAGCAACAATGTTGCTTAAAAATATATTATTCCCTTCACACTTCTTGCCCTGACCTGAAAAATAAATAAACAATGAGAAGATCCACATTTCACCATGAAATATCTAACTTTCAAAGCCAATTTTCCCTCCCTCTCTGCTACTGGGGACATTTCACTCCAAGAGCATCCTGAGTACCAATAGCCCTTCTCTCTCTCTTACCTGAGCAGATCACAGAGGCCGTGTTGCCATGGGAAGAGTCAGGACCACCCAGGGCAGTCACAGGACAACTCTACAGGAAGGACTCAGCCCCTGAGCAGTGAAATCAGACTGTTGAGATCTGATTACCTCCTTCCACAAAGTGTGGTCCTCTGGGAGTGGAGATGGTGACTCCACAGCCAAGCTGATGACAGACAACATTGGCGTTGACCAGACTCCAGTGGGAGGCACAGAGTGCTCTCCATCGTCCAGAAATGTTCATCTGTACCTGCCCCTCACATTGAGAGGAGCTGTTTGTAATGAGCTGGACTTCTGAGTATGCTGGTAGAAGAAGACAGAGTTTCAACAAAATCTCATGATTTCTCACTTGAACAGGATGTTCACAGAGATGAAAGGCCTGACCTGCATCTCACCTGAACAGACAACCTGAGCAGCTCCACTGTGGTGACATGTGCCCCCTGGATAGGGCACTCTGGGGCAGGACCAGAGCTTAGGCTCCTCCCCCTCACACCTGAACTCTTCAGCCCAGACCCGGGCACTGGACTCTCTGAAGAGCTCATGTCCCAGAACAGACACA